TTAAATAATATATGATGTTATATTGTGTTAAAACACTATCTAGGAACCCTAGAAGTGCATGTTAGAACTTTAGTCATTGAAAGTAAGCAAATTATGAATAAGTCCTTGAAAGTTCAACTTATTTCATTTAAGTCCCTAAAAGAAATAATTTATTGTCACTTTAGTTCCTAACATATATTGATATTATAATTTAAATTATATATATATATATATATATATATATATATATATATCTAATTTTGGACTAAAGTAAGTAACATTTTACACCTTCAGGTGTACTTTTTTAATTTTTATGCTTTCTAAGACTAAAATGTCAATGACATACACTTTTAAAGATCTAAATAGTTTTTTACCTTATTATATTATGATTAAACTACTACCAAAAGCAAATATTAATTTATTTCAAATTACACTTATTATATATATATATATTAGTTTTATTTTCATATATCTTTTTTAACTATATTAAAATATCATAAAATTTAAAATTAAATAATTTTTTATTATTGGTTTTTTACCATTCTCTTCTTTTTCATTTTTTTTGTAAACTTATTTTTATTATATTTCAAGAATAATTGTTATAAAATAAATGATTTGTATTTAAAATAAATAATTTAACTATAAATTGATAACAAAAACAAAACAATTTGTGAAAAATGATAAAATTTAAATATTAAATTAAAATGAAATTAAAGTTGATTGTCACAACTTTTCTTCACTGAGAACACCTCAACAAAATGAGGTAGTTGAAAGAAAGAATTAAACCTTACAAGAAATGGCTAGAACTTTACTTTGCGAAAACTCTTTGTCAAAACACTTCTGGACAAAAGTAGTGAACACGACCTATTATATTCATAACAAAATATTGATAAGACCTTTGTTAAACAAGACTCCATATGAATTGTGGAGGGGAAAAATACCCAACATATCATACTTTCATCCATTTGAATTTGTGTTATGTCTTGAACACTAGGATCAACTTGGAAAGTTTGATTCAAAAATGGACAAAGGCATATTTCTTAGATGCTCAGATACCTCAAAGGCATATAGAGTCTTTAACTCTAGAACCTCTGTCATAGAAGAATTTATCCATGTGAAGTTCAATGATGAATTAACATCTAATAGGAAACTATTAGATCTGGAAGAGGATTTTGTAGATTTGCAAATTGATACAAAGAAAACCAAGGAGCTAGACGCAACTGATTAGACAATGACTATGCTAGAAGGGTAGACAAATCAGACAAATGAAGCGATCAAATCTCACAAAGATCGAAAATTCATTAATCATCACCCACAAAATCAAATTATAGGTGATAAGACTGAAGGATTCAAGACGAGGTCTACTCTCAGAGGCAATGCCTCATATGCTTTGGTGTTAGATATTGAACCAAAAAGCATAAATGAAACCCTTGGCGACAATGACTAGATACTAGCTATGGAAGAAGATCTCCATTAGTTCAAAAGGAATGATGTTTGGATTCTAGTTCCCAAACTAGAACATTAAAGCATTATCGGAACAAGATGAGTGTTTAGAAATAAGTTAGGTGAGCAAGGTAAAGTGGTAAGGAATAAAGATATATTGGTAGCACAAGCTATCAAAATTATGCTAGCTTTTACAACTCACAAAAATAATAAACTTTTTCAACTAGACATAAAAAGTGCTTTCTTAAATGAAGTTATCGAAGAGGATGTTTATGTTAAACAACCTCCTGGTTTTGAAAATATTGATTTTAAAAACCACATTTTCAAATTGAAAAAAGGAACTCTTTATAGTCTAAAACAAGCTCCTAGAAGTTGGTAGAAAGATTAAGTAACTTTTTACTAAACAATGATTTTGTGAGAGACAAAGTTGATGCAACTTTGTTTAGAAAAGAATTTGGCACAAGTTTCATAGTAGTACAAATTTATGATGATGACATTATTTTTGGTGCTACTAATGAATCTTTGTGTAAAGATTTTTCTAAGCTAATGTAAAATGAATCTGAAATGAGAATAATGGACGAGTTGAAATTCTTCCTAGGGCTTCATATTAAACAAACAGACAAAGGAATATACATTCATTAGTAGAAATATATAAAAAGAGCTTCTTTCAAAGTTTAAAATGAATGAGTGCAAACCAATGCATACACATATGCATCCATTTGTGGATCTGTCAAAAGATGAATCAAGTAAACCAGTGGATCAAATAATCTACAGAGGTATAATTGGATCTCTCTTTTACTTGAATGCAAGCAGACCTGAGATTATGTCCAATGTATGTCTATGTGTTAGATTTTAGTTTGGTTTCAAAGAGTCTCATCTTAAAGTTGTAAAACACATCTTTAGATATCTTGTAGGTTCTACTAACCTAAGTTTATTCTATGAGAAAAACAATTAATGATTTTAGGTTAGCAAGATTTTATGATGCAGACTACGCTGGAGAGAGGATTGTGAGAAAAAACACAAGTGGAGGATGTCACTTCTTAGGCAATTGTCTCATCTTATGAACCAACAAGAAGCAAAATTCAATAGCTTTCTCCACTACAGAGGCAGAATATAGTTCTACGGTAGGGTGTTGTTCACAACTCTTATGGGTTAAGTATCAATTAAAATATTATTCTAGTCTTGAAAATCATATACCCATTTTCTATTATAACACTAATGCTACAAATTTGTCTAAAAATCCTATACAACATTTCAAGGCTAAACATATTAAGATAAAATATTATTTCATTTATGATTATGTCCAAAAAGATATTTTTGATATAAAACTTATAAACACTAATCACTGATTGGTTATTTTTATTAAAGCTTTAGCTAAGGAATGTTTTAAATTCATTAGAGATCACATCATGTTAAAATGTTTTTTTAGAATAAAATTTATGCATTGTCTTACTATAGTACATCGTCTTATCATACTTCATCCAACATGCATCATCTTATGCTTATGTGGACATACATTAATTTGTGAAAATTTTATATTTATGTATGTACACTAGCATATTGTCTCACTCTAATAGGATATCCAATTGAATAAGTTGAAATGATCAAGGAGCAAGATTCAATAAGGTATTGCATGGAGAAGAGGAATTGACATTGACATGTCACATAACAACAATTTTCTCTCTCTTATCGTTTCACCTTACCTAATCCTTAAAAAGTGGATAATGTAATACTTACATCTCATAAGAGAGTGATAATGTAATACTCTTATGTCAAAGAGATATAAATGTAGTATATTAAATATTTTAACATATGAAAGGTGAATAATATAATACTTATATCTCATAGGAGAGAAGAATGTAATTTACATTAATAATATTAAGTTAAATAGGCTACATTGTAGGATTTAACATGAGAGAAAATAGTAGTGTAATACTTTTATCTATTAGAAAAAGATAACGTAATTTATTCTAATTTTTAAAATACTTTTAATATTTTAAAACTATATCTTATACATTTATACATTTTAAAACTATATCGCATTGCACGGATGAATTATCTAGTTTAAGATAAAAACCGTTTTGAGGGAAACGGTGTCATGCTTTTGCCGCATCCATGTCATAGATCATAAGGTGCAGAGACTAATGCACTAGTGTGAAAGGAGAGAGAAGAAAATGCAGAAAATGAAAGTTGTTGAGTTTTTTTTGAGATTGAGTTTCATCCAAATCCGATGATTTATATTCACTCTGGTTAAATTGAAACTATATTAGTGATGAGTTATTTTATGGTATTTGTCTGAAGAGATATGTTATAATGGTTATTTTTATGAGATTATTACACAAGCATACTCAACAATGATGAAATATTGTCCGCTTTGGACCTTAGCCCTCACGGTTTTGCTTTATATCGCATTGCACGGATGAATTATCTAGTTTAAGATAAAAACCGTTTTGAGGGAAACGGTGTCATGCTTTTGCCGCATCCATGTCATAAATCATAAGGTGCAAAGACCTGCACTAGTGTGAAAAGAGAGAGAAGAAAATGTAGAAAATGAAAGTTGTTGAGTTTTTTTTTAGATTGAGTTTCATCCAAATCCGATGATTTATATTCACTCTGGTTAAATTGAAATTATATTAGTGATGGGTTATTTTATGGTGTTTGTCTGAAGGGATATGTTATGATGGTTATTTTTATGAGATTATTACACAAGCATACTCAACAATGATGAGATATTGTCCGCTTTGGACCTTAGCTCTCACGGTTTTGCTTTTGATCATTACCTAAAAAGCCTCTCAATTATTGAAGTATCTTTGTACTATATAAATTGTTATTTTTTATCTTATTTTATCAATGTGAGACTTGTTTGTATCTCAACAATTAGATCTTATATAATCCAAGAGGAGTATATCAGAAAACAATATCCCTATATTAGGGAAAAAAAAGAGTGTCTTTCTAGTATATATTGAAGGAGAATTTGACGCATGTTAATAAGGAAGGAGGCCTCAAACTATTATATTCATACATAAATATGAACAGTCATAAATATAGATAAATACATGTATAGAATATTAAGTGACACAAATTGTGTTGAGAGTATCAGATGAATAAATTTTATCCATAAAATAAAATCACAAATAATTAAAGATTAAAACACAAAGTGACGCGTAACATGTATGTGTGTATATATAAAATTTCTAAACTCTAAGACCTAAATTATTATATGATAATTTCTACTTTATAAATTAAATTAGTATATTTCTTATTATCATTTATTTTAAAATTAAAAATCAAAATAATTATAAAGCAAAATTAAATTTAAAAGCTTGAAAGGACAAAATGGTCAAGAGCCATATAAAAGAAAATAAATATAAAGTTGACGGAAACTAAATGGATCAATATGTTAAAAAAAAAAAGAATAATTAAGAAAATAAATAAATAATAAATAGTATATGACAAAGCAAGATAATATTATTAACTATTAAGGTCCATAGGCAAAGCACATTTCGTCACTTCTAGTTATCTGTTTCTATATTTTGTTGAATTTGTTTATAATCTTATATCTGTCTATCTATATACTATTTTTTATAAAAAAAATATGATAACCATAAATATTAACAGAAAATAACTGGTTTTGTTAAATAAAGCTACAGTTTAAAAAGAAAATTGCAGTAATGGTATGAAAGTGTGCTACTATGTCATTAGAATATTAGTTCACTCATCTATGACTTGAAAGCCAGAAATCAATCAAACTCTTCGTGCCTTAAGCTGATGTTAAATTTTTCTCCAAGCTTTGACCATTCATCTCTGATATTTGCCTGAATTTGCTTTGCCAATTCCTGCTCATCTCTCAAGTGTGGCACTTGTTCCCTTAACTCATCTCTTTGAGCTTTTAGAATTTTTGCTTCCCCAAAGATTTCTCTCTTTCTTTGAGTAGCCATGTTCCTAGCTGCTTGTGAAGCAGATATGTTAGCTTTAACAGCATTTATTTGCTCTTCTAGCTCCTTCTTTCTTTCCTCCAAATAGGCCAATTCACTGCACAACTCATTTTCTAAGCACATGACTTCCTTGAAGTGGCTCTTATTAGCTTCAAGACCCTCTTCTAGTTCATCAGCTTTCAACAACTTGGCTGTGGTAGATTCTATTTTCTTGCTTTCACATGTGTAATCCCAACTCCAATGAGTGAACTGTCTTGAAACTTGTATTATCAATGATCTCATTTCCACTGATATGCCATCTTCTGCTGGTAAATTGGTGAGGTAGTCTAAGGTATCTTTCATGGTTCTGTACTCACTAGGGCCCAACAAGACTAAAAAGTCTTTGGTGACGAAGTCCTGGAGTGTCTTCAATGCTTTCTTGGTCTCTTCACTTGGCATTTTGTTGGTCAATTCAGAAAAAATTCTAGAGTCATTGCTAAGTGAAACCATAGAGGTTTCAGCCTCCAGAACAGCATAAAATGCTTCCATGTCTGTATCATTTATAATCAAATTGGTTTGATTTCTCAAGTCAAGGGTTGTTGGCAGCACCATGGTGGAGTTGGTATTTTGAGGTGGCTCCCCTCTAGTAACTTTGTCCAAGGATACAGTAGCCCTTGGTGCATGAACATTTGGTATCAGTCTAAAACTTGTGACCTGGGATTGTGGTTGAGTTTTCACTGGATGATCAGCAGCCAGTATGTTTGATTTAGAAGCTACAAAAATAGAAATTTAAAGGAGTTGGTGAGAAAAAAGTAATACTGTGTGTGAACTTATTGGTGGACCAATGATAATTGAAATAGATGTTATAATATCTGCAGCAACTAGTAAAATATGCAGAAAGAAAATTCAAGTTTCTAAAGCATCATAATACATTATAAATTCATAATAAAGGATTGGTTCTTACTAAAAAAAAATCATAGTTTTTTCAATTTGCTTATGTAGTTGAAGCAATATAATCTGTCTCCTACATACGAACAAGTTGGTACTATAAATTTGTTTTCGGATTATCGACAGTGTATTCTTTTGTCACTGGCTTGAAAAAGTAAAACAAACCCTAGTTCGAGCAAATTATGCATTGCATGCCTTGACAATTGATTGGAATATTAAAATGGATCTGGATCAACAAACTAGCTAAATACATGGATACATGATATGAAGATAGCATGAATATTGGGGCATGGAATAATGCATATCCATATAAAAATCAGGCTTACCTTTGACACTAGCATTGTCTCCAAGATACAATGAAGCAATTGAATCTTTAATAACACCATCCAATGGTTTTTCATGCAATAAATTCTTTTCTTGGCTCTGATCCATGTCAGTGTGGCATGCAGATACATTACTTTCTGTGTCTTCACTTATTTTCCACCACTCCTTCACTTGCCTATCCGGTGTCACACAACCTTCCAAGTTATTCAAATTGTAGCAGTTATCATCTACTCTCATGAAAAATTGGGAATCTTCAATTGACTTTGTGCTTTCTTCACTGTTTGTATCCAAATCTGTACCAATATTCTCAGCGTGTCTGCTTGGATCTAAATCTAGATTAGGATCTGTAAATAAAATATCCTTCATGTTAGCTTCTTGCTTACACACATGAACTCCACACCAACTCACAGTCACATTTGATGCTCCACTTATCTTCTCACATGAAATCTCAATCTGATTCCAGTCATTCATTAGATATAAATCAAGACTATGCCACTGGATGGATGGATTAGTTCTTAAGTCATACAGCCACAAATGATCTGTCATCATATCTGAAAAGCACCTTGGTATTTCCAATTCATAAACTTCATCACCATTTATATAAAACCGGATTTCGCAATCGAAACTTTCCTTCATTTCACTCTCTACCGCAAGAGCAAAGCAAAAGATAATTTCTGGAAACTTTTCACGTACCCAAAATGTCACATATTCACCTTTGGTGATGTGAGCAAACCATTCTGGAACCCTTGTTCCAGGCACCATAACTTGTAATTCACATGCGTCAAAAGTCTCCTACAAAAGGAAAATCAAATTAAAATGGGTGGTGACTTAAAGAAGTCTCGGAAGATTTAAGAAAAAAGGGCAAACCTGGCTCAGTAATAAGTTTGATGACTCTGAAGTCAATGATGTGCAATTTCTAGCATTAATGTACTGTGAGTTAGGAGGAATACCCCGAATTTCTTGGAGTTTTTTGCAGTTGTCCAAGTGAAGTAATTCCATGAAAGCAAATTCTTGTATGCAGCTTGGAAGAGCTACAAAATTATTTGCTGAAAGGACTAATGATGCCATATTTGGGAAGCAATAGAAAATTATTGGAAGATCTTCATCTATGAGGCCACAGTTTTCTAGATTCAGTGACTGAATGTTACCAAAGGTAGGGGTAGAGTCTCCCATGTCTCTCAACTTTGCTAGAAAACTTCGAAGTTGTGGACAGCCTTCAATATCAAGGTTTCTAAGATTTTGCAACATATCAATGTTGTCAGGCAGTTCCTTGAGGCTTAAGCAAGATGTCATGCTAAGTTCTTGAAGTCCAACAAGACTTCCAATGGAAGGAGGCAATTCTTCTATACCACTGCTTTCTAGAGAAATGGATATGAGGTTATCCATTTTCCCCAAAATAGCTGGGAAATTTTGAAGGCTTGAGCACCAATTAAGGAAAAGATTTCTCAGTGATGTCAACCTGATGGCACTTGGAAAAACCTTAAGCTTGGTGCATCCATAAGCTCTCAACTCAACAAGTTTGTCAAGGAATCCAACAGAGTCATGAACCTCTTCTAAATTTGTACAATAATCAAGATTTAGTTCTGTTAAATTTGGGACTCTGGATACGTCAGGAAGTTTTGTCAACAATTCACAGTAACTCAAGTCCATAGAAGTCAACGAATCAAAATACTGCAAAGCATAAACTAGATTAGCATGCATAATTGCAAGTTATGTGAAGAATGAAACAAAGAAATACTAAAATGATAAAATGAAACCTTACCTTGAATGGCTCTTGCATTGTAAAACGACTGCGTGACAAGTTGAGTACAACAAGTTTCTTTGGTTGAAAATTAGATGGTAAAGATGATGAAGGATATTCCATCCAGTCAAGCAACCTTAAATTGTTTGGAAGATGTTGGGGGCTTCCAAAAAATTGTCCATTTCGAACTATAAGAATTTTAAGATTTTTCATCTTTTTGAAGGAATCATCTTTCAAGTGTACCATATATTGATCAGGGAGGTCCACCATCATGCCTTGAATTCTGTAAGTCCCCTTTTAAACCAAACCACACAAAACTACATAAAGTTAGATTTTGGTTCATGTATGTAACAGTTATGTTGTAAAGTTTTACTAATCACTTTGTCAAACAAAATAATAAGAATGTGAATGAATAATACATACACGGTCAAACAAAAGTCTTTTACGCTGTCATCCGATCACACACTGTCATATGTGATAAGTTTATTAAGTGTAATAATAATTACCTTAAAAGTCATACAAAAAATAATTTTTGAATAATTGATGCTGGAGTTATTTTATGGTATTTGTGTAAGGGTTATTTTATCAATATGGAACCTTATTTGTATCCCAATAAAAGGTTATAACTTATTGGTTGTTACCAAATCCAACATATGGTTCTAATACCAGAGTCCATAGTTGGAGTCATTTTATTTTTGATGACTTGTTTGAGAGGATATTATAATTTGTTATTTTTTTTATAAAATTATTTCACACACAACTCCACAATGATGAGATATTGTCCACTTTAAGCTTAAGTTCTCACGATTTTTCTTTTGGTTATCAACCAAAGGACTTCTCCATCATTGAAATATGTGTGTGTTTTATAAGATTATTTCTTCTCATATTTTATCGATGTAAGACCTTATTTGTATCTAAACAATTGATAGAGTAAAAGCTTTACACAAGGCAATCTTACTAAACTCAAACCACTTTGTCAAACAAAATGATAAACTAACCTACTAATGGCTCTTACCGTTTTTTCAGAGAGTACTTCAAAAACATCTTCATGGTACCACAGTCTACTCCTCTTACCAGGCTCTAATGGTGAAACTTCTCTAACAATTTCCCTACCCATGTCTTGTATCAGATCATGCATTTTCAATCTGTTGTATTCATCAATACTAACAAGAGATCTATCAATAAGTACACTAATGCCAAACTTTGGATAGAAACCGCAAGCTTGCAGCGTCTTTTCTACATATTCAATTGTCTCCCCTTTGAAAAAACATGCTATATCAAGGAAAATTTCCTTCTCATTCTCCTCTAGATTATCATAGGTTACTCTAAGTACATTCTGAACCTCTTTGTTGGGAATCTTTTCATACTTTCCTAGTGCAGATTTCCACTCTTCCACTGTTTTACCAAACAAATTAGAACCCATTACTTTCAAGGCCAATGGAAGCCCCTCAGCATAGAGCACCACACGGTTAGAAATCTCCAAATAGCCTGCATCAGGTGCCTTCCTTTTGAAGGCACTCCAAGTGAACAGTTCAAAAGCTTCATCATGGTTTAATTTCTTTACTTCATATGTTTTCTCAACCTGATGAGCAGCTAGCAAGTGCTTATCTCTTGTTGTTATAATGATCACACTTCCGAAACCAAACCAATCGCGTCCTCCTGCTAGTGCTTGAAGCTGTTCCAACTTGTCAACATCATCAAGAATCAAAAGTACTCTTTTGCAACATAGCCTTTTCTTTATAATAGGGATTCCTTTATAAATACTTCCCAGCTTTATGTTCTTGTCTCCGACTGTATCATAAAGAAGTGCTTCTTGAAGTTGCACTAAGCCTTGTCTTTGATTTGAACTTTCTCTTATGTCAGCAAGGAAACTTGTAGCCTCAAACTGGCCAGCAATCAAGTTGTATAAGGCCCTCACTGTTGTTGTTTTGCCTATGCCTCCGAGTCCATATATTCCAATGACACGAATATCTTCACCAGGTTCAATATGCAAAAGTGACTTCACTTCTGATATGCGAGTCTCTATTCCAACTGGGTATTCAGCAATATGCAAAATGGTGTGATTCAATTTTCTAGAGGCCTCCTCAATGATCTCTTGGATAAGCTCAAATTCATACCTGCCGAGTAACAAGTTCTCCATAACTACAAACTACAACCATTCACTTTCCTGTATTAAATCATCTTAGTCTGCTAATATGCAAAATGGTAATGAGTACTCTTAGAACACAATTTAAAGAAACAAAAGTAGAAAGATTTTAGTGAATAAAAAGATGTATCTATTATATCAAACACAAAAATTATTCAATTCTGAATGTCTTTAGTAATTAGAAGTATTTAATAATGTGTATTTAATGCTTATTTCACAGTTGTAATCATGGTTGCAGTTACCTATAAGTTCATATACTTGTACTATTTGTACATTTTGGTCCCTATATACATTTGCACAATCTTTATATTTCAGTTCCTACATTTAAAAACCACTAGCTTTAGTCCCTTTATGAGCATATTTATTATGCTTTAGTTTCTATCTACATGTTTCCCCTTTCTTCTTCCCCCTTTGTTTCTTTTTTTGCTTTCTCCTCGTCAACTCTTTCTTCTTTCTTTTGTTTTACGGCTTCAGTTCCTTTTAAATGCTCTTCATTAACTAATTTTCATTGACAATAAATCACAGTCTCGAGGTTATAGAGTTCAAAAGGGAACTGAAAGTACTTGTATAGAAATCAAAACAAACATTTTTAAGTATAAGTACTAAAAGGTAAAATTTGTTCAACTAGAGAGACCAGATGAATTACTGAACCTTATAAATCCACCATGAATGACATAACTAAGAAGTAAGAACAAATTCATGAATAAAAGTACGAACTGTTAAAGAAAACATGTCAATAGGATTATTTACATACCCATTTTCTAAGGTCCAACCTGACAAATTGGCAGCCTCAAACAAGGCCCTCTTCCACTTTTGCAACTTTTCTACATCACCCTTGAATCTGTCTCCATGCTTAGCCATTGCAGTCCCAAAGCTTCCTCTCTGATGGCGCACCACAGAAGGGTCCACGTGGAAGAAGACCGGCCAAACAAGTTGCCCCCTTGTTCTGTAACACTCAAGGATCTTTGCAAGTTCATCAAGACACCAAGTGGAGGATGCATAGTTGTGAGAGAACACAATGATGGCAATCCTAGACCCCTCAATGGCTCCAACAAGAGCAGGGGATATCTCTTCCCCTCTCCTAAGCTTCTCATCATCTATGAAAACATTGATACCCCTTTGGCGCAAACCATGATACAGAGACCCTGTGAAGCTTCTCCTTGTGTCTTCACCTCTGAAACTCAAGAACACATCATATGTCCACCCACGGCCAAAAGCAGAAGAACATGAAGCTCCTCCACACAGCATCTTAGCCATGTTAGAACCAAACTTGTTGGTTACAAAATACATGCACCATATTGCTATGCTTAAGTTAAGAATGAGTTTACAAATTACTGTTGAAAACAACAACTTTTTGAGGAGAAATTATTAGGTCCATTTCCATAATTTGCTGATAGAAGACGCGAGGAGTTGTCGGAGAAATTATTAGTTCCATTTCCATAATTTCTCAAAAAAATTGTTCTCACAACCGTGTGTAAAAGTCAAAGTCAAATATATGATTTTCACTTTAAAAATGAGCCAGTTGGGCATATTGAGTTGTGATACAATTTATTTTTTGGTTGACCCAGATGCCATACCACCTCGTTCAATGTCTCTACCAAACAACCGCATTTCGTTCCTCAATTCGGTCAAAATAATAGCAGCTTTTGTATCTGATTATCATGATGCTCCACTTTAACCATGTGGCTTCTATTTGTGATTTTTTTTTTTTTTTATCAATCCTAATTTATCTATTTATAAAATAAAAGTTAAACTACTTTATATCACATTAACACGTCACCTTAAAATATCTCTAACATGCTATTATGTCAACAAAATTGTTGATGTGTTATTCTAAATTACCTTCATATAATAATTATACATTCCCCTCTTTTTACTTATTATGTCATTAATTTTAATAAATAATAATTGAATATTATTTATTATTTTTATAACCAATATTTTAACAATTAAGATTTCATTTCGGTTGATCTGCATAATAACATTCAATTTGCTTTCACATTTTGCAAAGTTAAACATTGTCTCCGTTTAGACAGAAAAAAATAATAGTTGCATCTATCACAATTTGAATTTCAATTGATTATAACATCTATTCTCACATTATTAATATTTTATATAAGATGTTACTTTCATCCATTGAACTATTGGAATGTAATTATATTTTAATAAAATTGAACAGTAATAAACTGATAATTAAACTATTCTTATTTTCATAAATTTCAATATATATATATATATATATATGTATATATATATCATGTTAATTTAGAATAATCTGGATTCAAGGTAATGAGAACGAATAAGTAATTTTATTTCTAAATTATTTAGTTTGTTATGAAGAATCATGTAACAAAAAAGATGATGTATTAAATTGGTAAATACAAATATATACCTGTTAATTATGTTAATTATTAATTTAACATGCACAATTTTTAATTAAAACTGACAATTAAAATTTCAAGTAGATTATGCTTAAAATTATTTTATTATTTTATTATTTTATATTAAATAATTTGTTATTTATTAATATCATCCATTTATAAATAATTTAATTTAATTAATTAATTAGTAGTCTTAAAAATTAAATTATAGAGATGGATATTGTACTGTAATATTATTTTCCATTATTTGGTCTCCTTTTCATCGATTGAACTATTGGAATGTAATTATATTTTAATAAAATTGAACAGTAATAAACTGATAATTAAACTATTCTTGTTTTCATAAATTTCAATATATATATATATATATCATGTTAATTTAGAATAATTTGGATTCAAGGTAATGAGAATGAATAAGTAATTTAATTTCTAAATTATTTAGTTTGTTATGAAGAACCATGTACCAAAAAAGATGAATTCTTGTTTTCATAAATTTCAATATATATATATATATATATATTATGTTAATTTAGAATAAACTAGATTCAAGATAATGGGAACAAATAAGTAATTTGATTTCTAAATTATTTAGTTTGTTATGAAGAACCATGTACCAAAGAAGATGATGTATTAAATTAGTAAATACGAATATATATAGATGTTAATAATTAGTAATTTAACATGCCCAATTTTTAATTGGAACTGAAAATTATAATTTCAAGTAGATTATGCTTAAAAATCATTTTATTATTTTATATTAAATAATTTATTATTTATTAATATCATCCATTTAGAAATAATTTAATTAATTAATAGTCTTAAAAAAATTAAAATATAGAGGTGGATTTAGTATTGTAATATTATTCTCCATTATTTTGGTCTGCTAATATTTATTTTGTTGAATATATGAATCTGTCATGTCCCTTTCTTTTAATACTAAAATTTAAAAAAATCTTATATCCTTTAAAACTTATCTTAAAGAATCTCAATATTATTATTCACTAATCATTTTTTTTAATTAGATTCAAATAAGGGGCCTAAATCACCACAGCCAATTTCTTCCTCGGATGAAGAACTCATTGTAAATACAAACATACAACTATCTAAGAAGTCAAAAGATGGATTATCATCAAATAAAAAAGGCTCATTCAAGGAAAAAGACATCTATACAAATTATTGACAATTCCTCAAATGAAGAGTCAATTCTAATTCAAAGTTTAAAGAAAAATAAACCAAAGAAAAAACAATTCAATGACCTAACACAAAAAAAAAAAAACCAAATATCCATCTGAATAGTGACCTGTATTCATTTTAATATATATTTTTGTTTCATTGGTTGTTTTTTATTTTGTAATCAATTTTTGACTTCAATAATAAATTTTTATCTTTATATACATTCACCTCAATTTCACTCTTACAAAACTAATTTTATGTGATGTTTATTTTTGTACATAATGTCAATACTTATTTTTTAATGTAGAAGTGTGAACATAAATTTATAATATAATTAATAAAAAATAATATATAACAATTATCATATATTTATTTCATATCTTTATTCCAAAATAATAATTATTATATTACAATTTTAATTTACATATATTAAAATATTATTTAAAAAATAAGAAATTTTAATAAATCGTGCATCGCACGGGTCCATCTCTAATTAAAATTAAAATGAGATTAACAAACTTGAAATCTAGTACCATGCCTATTATTCAAATTCTCACTATTAAGTGACTTTAATGCTTACAACTTGTCTTTGGGAATCACAACTACACAACTGAAACACTATATCATCCCGCTTGAAATAACAAGATGTTTCTAAGTAACTGAATGTCTGTTTCGATCTATTTTAAAGAAATATTGCTTTTATTTGTTTTTTGAAGAACAATTTTGAAAAAAAAAATTTAAAAATATTTTTTTTTACCTAAACATGTGCTAAATTATATAACCATTTGATGTAATAATGCAAAGATATCATAAATTAAGGACAATGAAGATTAAAGGTATGACTAAAAAAAATCTGACTAAAATAATTAATTAAAAATGATCAATTAGTTTTCTTATAAAAATTAATAACTAATATTTATACTTATAATATGGTAACTAAGAAAAAAGTTTAAAGGGAATTTTTTTAACTTGAAAATGATTTGAATTAAGCATTTCAATATTGGCCAAAGTCTATCCAGCATAAATAATTGGCTAGTGTAGTTCTTGAGGTCTTCCAAAAGGTGGCATGTGTATTTGGAGAACCTCATTGCATGTTCTCTTGATTGGCTTAATATGGTTAACCGGTGTACAGGTACATTGTTTTGTCAATTTGATATGGTTCATTCATGGACGAGTTTTTGTAGGTCGTTAGATGTTATTAAAATGAAATGAAGGACAAGATTGATTGTCGGTTATCCATCAAATTTTAAATTTAGTTTAAATATAAAATGTCGTGTTTAGTCATTTCGATAATGTCCTTGTTATGTTCATTTTTTTGTCTATCTCCCCGGTGGCAGTAACTGCCTTTGGAACTTTGTTATATAAAGTGGAAGGATAGAAAGAGTAAGAGAGAATTGAGATAGTTAAAACTTGTGAAAATTAGTCAATATACATAGTAACGTGGAAAAACAATTGAGAAACAAATGAAATTGATAAAGATGAACAGTTGATTTCCTTGAAATAGTTGACGGTTGAAATATTGACAATTGAACAATTAATCGAATTATGATTATATGACATACATCATGTGTATAAATTTGTATTTTTGATGAGGTATTGAAGTGGAATCTAGTGTTAATGAACTCTCTTAGTAGTAAGTAGATCTAGACCTTGGGGGTCAGTTTAGTTTTGGTACTCTAGTCACACTTTATGATGAATATGGGTGGACCTAGTGTGACTACACAACCCTGGTGGCTCTTCTGTCTAGTGAGAGTGTTTGGTGACAAACATCTTTGGTTTAGTGTTTGTTCATCAATGTATACACAAATTATCCTATGAGCCTCTAGGCAATGCGTGTTTTTGAGTGGTGTCACATCTATAGTGCACTATACTATGAGACATTACATGTTATATATAATATAAATCTCTTTGATGTGTTTGGATATACATTATTATTATTATAATTATTATTGTTGTTGTTGTTATATTTTTATGTGTATGCTTGTCTGACTTTATTTTACACTGAGACCGTGAGTGAGATGTATTCATCCCATTTGTTTGTTTTCTTGTTATTTGTGTTTGGACTAAACATCATTTGAAAGTGAATAGCAACCAAAGGTTAATACCGGTGACGAGGCTTGTACCTCTTTGAAGTGTCTTGGGCACTATGCTCTTATAAAACGTTTATGGGGTTACAATCATATCTTGTACATATATACAATATACATCAAAATACAATATACTAATACAAAAGACCCTAATGTTGGTCAAGCATTTCTATACAAAATATTGCATCAGAACAACACAACCAAATCCAGGTCATCTTCAGCATGACTAACATGCACCGTCGAACGCGGTCAAATAATATTAGTTTCCTCTAAATTTGTAATTAGAGAAACCTTAGACCGAATCCTCAGTAGACACAATTCACAAGAACTTGAACTTTATCAAGAGTTCAGAAGGGCATTTTTCACAAACACTTTATGTGCAGAAATTAAAATATATTGTAAAACTACAATTTAATTCTATAGAATCACGAATTTGACAATCTAATCAGATAAAATACCAATTCAAGTTTCTAATTACCCCAGTATTAAGAAATAATCTAAATTCCATCGTTTAATATTCGATTCAATTTAAGGAACGAAGAATGCAATCACACTCTATGAAAACCCTACAAAAATAAACATGCTTCGCATTGTTTTAATTCGAATTGAATCCAACTTGGTGTTCTAAAATTAATTTGAATTGATTTTGTTTTTCAATTAATCAAAAATACAGTCCACAATCATGAATTGAATTCGAAATTAATTGAAGAACAAAAAGAAGAAAAAAGGAAATTCGAATTTGAGAGGAATCTATCTCATAATT